TGAAGCAGAGAGGCAAGGGCCAGGAGGCAGGGCAGCAGTTGGGTGTGCTGACGCCTGGCCCTGGTCAGCCACCGCCCTCTGCTCACATGCACCAAGGGGTCTCCACTGCTCTCGGTGAGACCTCAGAACTCCCCCACTCCAGGAGGCCTGGGCTGGCTGGGTGGCTGCCAGGGAGGAGGGAAGGAGATAAGAGGAGTCGTCCTCCTCCACCTCCTCTCCCTCCAGGGCCAGGAAGGGCTTTGACCTCCCGCGGCTGGCCTTGGGGCAGCTCCCCCTTCCCTCCATGCCCGTCCTACTCCCAGTTAAAAGAAAAGTAAACCAATTTAGTAGAGTTTGGGGTTTATTTTTCTTTTAACGCCCCCCAAAGACACCTGCTTGTCCCCAGGCCTGGAGATGCAGTCAGGCGGAGGTGAGTGGGGACTCAGCCTTTCCACCCGAGGTCTGGAGTCCGCTTGTTGCTCAGCCCGTGCGAACTCCAGCCAGATCAGCCGGCTAGCCTGGAGGAGGACCTTCCTCCTTCCTAACCCTCTGGCCTCTCTCTACCAGCAACTTGAAAGTAGGGGAAAGGCCACCGCCACCTGTCGTCTCCAGACAAAGTCCCCTCACCCTTTGTCCTGTGATCCCAGCCCGGGCCGGCCTCTGGAGGCTGCAGCCGTGCCCTCGCGGCAGGCGCTGGCTCTGCCCACTTACCTGCTGGTCCAGTTCTCCAGCGGCTCTGCCCGGGAGGGGCGGGCCGCGGCTCGGTTAGTATTAACCAGTCCCCGCCCAGGTGGGGGAGAGGCTGGGACGGTGGGCGGGGCTTCCGCGTCACTAAGCTCCTACTGTGTGCCCAGAACCTGCCCCGGCAGCCTCGACAGGAGGAGAATCCTGATACCCCAACTGTAACAAGGAAAGGCTCCCTTTTGAAGTGCTTTCTGCGGTGGGATTGACAAAGGTCGATTCCCTGCCGGCGTTAAGACCCTCCCAGACAGCTGGCTGTGGCCCCACCCTGGGGACACCGAAATTCTGTTCACAGGAACAGGGTCGCCTGGAGCAGAAACCATTTGAATACTGTCGCTTGGAAAGTGGAGTAATAATAATGCCCTTCTTACAGGACAGAAATCCCGTGTGCTGAGCTAACGCTGTCCCAGGCTTGACGCCAATTACTGTTTCATCTTCACTACACCTTTCTGGGAAGATACTGACACTGAGCAGGGATCCCTGAGAGGGATGGGGCCTCAGTTTCCCTTTCTGTTGAAGAATAAATAAGAATTTCCCAAAGTGAAAATTAATCAGGGCTGAACTAAAAGTAAAGTGTCTTTTCTAAGGGGCTAGGACTACAAGATCCATTTACAGGAGCCAGCAGTGGGTGTGGTGGTTATGGCATTAGACTCCCACGTGGCCTCCGGCGGTTCTGGACCTGACCGACCTCATGCTCTCTCTCTCTCACTCTCTCTCTCTCTGGTCAAATTAAAATAAATAAACAGATAAATAAAATTAAAACAATTCTTTAAAAACCCATTTACATTGCACAGACTCAAACTAAGAGATAAGACTTTACCCTTTGATTATGGTAATGAGGCAACATTGGCCATGAATGAGAGCCATAAGCCTTCTAAAACTCCCACTTAACAGGAGAAGATAAGGATTTAACTTCAATACTTGGCAGCGTGGTTGAGGTGCTGGACTCCACTTGGCTAACCGCATTTTTGGACCCGGTGATCTGGAAATTAAACCTGCATGTACTTGTATGCATATGATCCCAGGAGAATGGAGAAGGGATTGCAGTGTTACCAACCCCCCAAGGGGGTGATTTCTCGCTTTCTCTCTCTCTTTCTCTCTCTCTCCAGCAAGCACACATGCCCTAAGGCAAAGACTTCTCAAAAAAACAAACAAACTGGGAACCAGCAGTTAGCGTAATGGCTAGGTTGCTGGATTCCCACGTTGTCTACCGTGGTTCGCGTTCTGGACCCGGTGGCTTAAAGCTCAGGCCGGGCGCGTGTGCGTGCGTGCCCAAGATCCCGAGAGGAGAATGGAGGAGAAGGGATTGCCGCGTGACCATCCCCTCTGGGGGGTGATTTCTCGCTTTCTGTCTCTATGTCTCTCTCTGTCTGTCTGGCGAGTGCACGCATCCTGTAGCGAAGACCTCTCCAAAAAAAAAAAAAAAAGAAAGAAAGAAAGAAAACAAACAAACAAACTATCCCCATTTTATGGATGAGCAAGCTGAGACTCAGAGAGGTCTGGAGTCTTGTGTGGAGTCATGCGGCTTCCATGTGGCAGAGAGTGGCTGTCATGCTCACTGAGCTACTTTGACAGTGAATAGGATCTTTCAGCATTCCCATGAGGCAGGTGCTCCTTTTATTCCCTACTGTGCAGATGGGGAAACTGAGGCTCAAAGGGGTGAAGCAACTTGCTCCAGGTGCTGTAACTGGTAAGCGTAGGACTAGGATGTGAAGCCAGACTCAAACTAGCACCTGCACACCGTGACAAGTGTCGTATGGATCCTGGCACATGGTAAATGCTTGTGTGTGTCACTACCACCCTCGGGAATCCCACAATCCCTTTTTGTGGGATGCTATAGAGCTTCGATCATCTGGTCCTTCTCCAAGTCTCACAGTCTGTGGGACTCCTGTGTTTATGAACTTAATTCAAGTGGTTTTTCTCCTGTTACCCTCCCACCCCCACCATGGGATGTGTGAGCTCATTGGAAACTGGACAGAGAGAGGGAAAGTGAGAAATCACCTACCAGGAGGGATGGCCACACTGCAATCCTTTCTCCTTCATCTCTTCCTGGGATTTTGGCCACACGTACATGTGGGTCCGGTGTGATTTTCAAGCTGCCCGTCTGGGACTCAAACCACAATTGGCTGTGTGGGAGTCCAGTACCTTAACTACCATGATACCTGCTGGCCCCTGTGAATCTATTTTATGTTAATTCATTAAGTAGCCCAACCAAAGAACACAGAAGTGTGGAGGGAAGCCATTTCCCTCTCTCCTATGGGACCAAGTCCTCTGGGTCTCAGGGACACATGAATTTGCTCCCTAGGGGAGTTTGGAATACTTGTCTTTAACCTGGCCTCCAGCAGGGAGCCCACCCTTAGCCTTCATCCCCACCTCCCTCTCAGAACACTCCCCTCCCAATTCCAACAGGAAGCTCCCTCTTAGGTTGGAGCCACAGGTACCTTTTATGTTTTATATTATTTTTATTTTTAATTAAAAAGCACATCCTTATTATCAACCTCCAAAGACTCCCTATTGTTTACCAAATTAAGAAAAGTGATTAAGGGAACCAGCAGTTAACGTAATGGCTATGTCGCTGGACTCCCACGTAGTCGACCGCGGTTCGCGTCCCGGACCCGGTGGCTTAAAACTCTCGCCGGGCACGTGTGCGTACGTGCCCAAGATCCCGAGAGGAGAATGGAGGAGAAGGGATTGCGGCGTGACCATCCCCCCTGGGGGGTGATTTCTCGCTTTCTGTCTCTATG